ACCTCCTTTAAATAAAGCAAAATATATATATATTTTTCTTTTTCTACCTATTTTAATCCCTCAGGACTGGGACTAGTCCCTTATTTCCCACATGGAGATGTAGGGTTGGCATGTGCACATTTGCAATGGTCAGAGCAGCTGTGTGAAGCTCCCAGAGTCAGGCTCTTTGTGTGTTAGAACCAAACCCTGCAGGTTCAATTAATAAGTTTTGGAAATGAACCAACAGCTGATGATCCCCAGGCTTGTTTTAAATGGAGGAAGGTGGCTGTCATGGAAGAATTTGACCTGCTAAGGTCTGGATGCAGCTGGGACACACAGAGAGGCTGAAAAGCTGTAAGTCTGAGACCTACACTGTGATGGCTGCAGAGCCAAAATGTCCCATTGCTGGGGTCATAAGCAAACAGGGACTGTCTGTGCAAGTGGATGCTTCAGATTTTGGTTTGCGTGGATGGTAAAATATATTTGCTTTCCAAGTCACAAGCCTTGGAATTTTGTTCTGATGTCTACAGGGAGAAAGATGAACAGAAAATATGTTTGCAAAGTGGGGGAAAAGGTAGGATTTATATATATATTTTTTAAATCCAACAGTTTTCTTCAAACACGTAAGGGCCCATTAAGTTAAAAAATTTTTCCATTACTAATTTCAGTTAATTACAGACTTAAATAAATACAAATCTTGGTTAGCACGATCAAAGGCTGGGCCTTCATACTAAGGCAAATTCTCTTGAAGTCACAGATTTGGAAAAGGGCCTAAACACACAGCGTGGAGCTGGTGATGCTAAAGGGCTGGGAAGGTGAACATCACGAGAGCTGACACGGGAGGCAGACCTGGCCCCACACCTTCACCTGGAACATGGGCACACTCCTGTGTTGTTTCCACCATCCAGATCCAGAAGAAATCGCAGGGCTACTTGCTGGCTTCTGTTCATTTGGGTGCTTATGTTCCCATCTGGACAGCTAATTCTCTTCGTTTTGGCTCCTGGAAAGCCCAAGGTCAGAGTAAAATGCATGTGGCTGCTGCTGATGGATGACTAATTTGGGGTGAAAAGTCCTGCATCAGGAGTTTTCCGCATCAGAACCTAAATTCTGCACTCTGGCTTTAATTCTATTTGAAGAAAGCCATTCAAAAAACAGATTTCAGGGAGAATCGGTTGAGCAAAGGGAAACTAGAAAGCTGGCTGAACATTTATTTGTTGTATCCGTAGCAAGCAGTAAAAGAGGAGGAGGGGGGAGGAGAGGAGGGAGGAACAGGAACACTCTGGGATGACTGGGAAATGCACAAGCCTTTATTTATCGACTTTGTTTACTTTAAAACGCATCCAACTGGAAGGCTAGGTGCAGACATAAAAACTAAAATAGAAAACATCCTGGGCCAGGCTCTTGGAGAATGCAAATTGGCATGGGAGTTCCCATGGCTTCCAGCAAAAATCTGCCACATTTACACCACCTGCGTTCGGATTCTCATTTTAAAATTAAAAAAAAAAAAAAAAAAGCCAGCTCCACCTCTGCAGTTGGTTTTGCAAGGAGATATAGAGGAAGGGACAAAGAGAAGAGGTCTCTGAGGTACCTGTGAGGAAAACCATTTGGGGCACGGTGAGTCTGAATGAGAGCAGAAATGAAAGGAAAGCCAGCACGGGTCAAGGAGCGCAGGTGGGCTCCAGATATGAGCAGTGCTGTGAGGCACTGAGCTGTGCTCAGCTTGCTGCTGTTCCTGGGTGGTCTAAAGGTGTAGTTCCAGCGAGGGCTCGTTGCTATAAACCAAGCCTTTGCCTCGTGGACCTGCCATGGAGTTGAGGGAAGCAAGTTCAAGTGGGGTCACCAGGAAGAATACGATCATTGAGTGGTAACAATGCATAAAAATTAGCAACAGACCATGAAATTCAACCTCAATCTGCTTAAAATGCTGGAAATGTGGGGGGGGAAAAAAAAAAAAGAACATGTACCCAAAATATGATATTGAATACTTTTTTTGAATGCTATTTATATCTTATTAGTAGAGTTAATCCCATGTTTCCTTAATTAATGAATTGCATGCCCAAGCATCAGGACATCTGGACCAGACAGCAATGGAGTTTAGAGGGGCAGCAAAAAATGCTCCCAAATCCCTGGCAGCAAGATTGGAGTGACCACAATTGCCCAGCTCTGCAGTGGCAAATACATTTTCCCTTGTCACAAATGGAAAGGATTCTCTGGACAGACGGGAGGTGCAGAAAAGCTGCTTTCTGCTGGAGCCTGGATTGCAAATCGTGGTTGGGTCCCATCTGAGCATCTGCATCATTTATAAACATTTTGCTTTTCTCCTAGCGAGGATTTTACAGTTGCTCTGGGTTTCTGCAGAGATTTTCACAGAGGACATGTTGTTCTTTTTGGATTAAGCCATCTTCCATAGACATTACTGGCTGTGGAGTATTTTGATTTAGACACCCAAATAGCCCTTTCCCAAATGAAGCCCCTCTAGTTTATCAGTAAGGAAATCAAAGCTGAAACATTTCAAACTGAACAGAAGATGCAAGAAATTGAATATTTATTTTGCAGAAAAAGCTCAGACAGAATTAAGCTCGGTGCACATTTGATCAATTTTGCCTGCTTAATGCACCTTTATGAGCTGAAGATAAGAGCCAGCCGACTGCGCTTGCAATAATACGGTCACAAAAAAATACCCCAGTGAACACTCTCTGAGATAACATCTTCAATAATCTTTCCAGTGTAAAATAAACAGCCAGAAAGGAAAACAGAAATGGATCCAAATATTCATGTCTCCCTGGCAGTTGTGTTTCTGGGAGTGGAATGGTTCTGGATGGAGGATCCTACATATGGCTTAGTTAATGGGTCGTGATAGGAGTGAAAACCTTCCTAAAGAGGAATTTAAAAAGGGGGGCTCAAAGAAGAGCCTTTCTTGTCATAATTTATGGGCTGAATGCTTGCTTAAGGAGTGCAAATAATCCTTAGCAGACACGACAGCCATTGACATCTATGAGAGCAGGCATTGCAACAAGAGCTGGGTTTGATCTGCCAAAAGATACTAGAGGAAGGTGGCTGCATGTGGTACTGCCTCTAAGGAAACTATTAGCTGAGAAAGCAAGTCACATTTCTCTAATTGTATTAGTATTGGCCAAATCTGGGAGTTCTCACCTAGACTTTATTTGGCCAAAATTTTTCTTGAAGTCAGTTGGAATTTGCTCAAGGTAGGGGTTCTGTAAAGGCTGAGAGTGTCTTCAGGACCAAAATCCACTGTCCATTCTTTTGTCAGATGTTCTGATTAAGTATCAAGAAGCCTCTGCCAGGGAGTTTATGGACGTGTGTAGTACATGGGCTTGTGAAGATGCACAACCACTGTAGCTGACAGTGAACAACATTTCCTCTTGTATCTGAGCAGTATTAGACGAAGAAAAGAAAATAGAACCAAACTTGGAAAATGAAAAACAGAAGCAAAAATGAGATGGAGGCATTTCTGGGTGTGAAGACACCGTTTAAAAAAATAATAATTTAAATTTTGATGTTTCATCTGCATTTCTTCTATTTTCCATAAGACAACATGTCACATTATTCTGGTCCCCAGTGGTATAATAACTTCAACACAGAGAAATTATTTCCATGAAAATAAGCCATTGAGAAGTAATGAAATTAATACTATTTTTATTTTTTTTACAGAATCACAGAATGGCCAGGGTTGGAAGGGACCTCAAGGATCATGAATCTCCAACCCCCCTGCCACATGCAGGGCCACCAACCTTCTCATTTAATGCTAGACCAGGCTGCCCAGGGCCCCATCCAACCTGGCCTTGAACACCTCCAGGGACGGGGCATCCACAACCTCTCTGGGCAGCTGTTCCAGCACCTCACCGCTCTCTCTGTAAAGAATTTCCCCCTGACATCCAACCTAAATCTCCCCTCCCTCAACTTAAAACCATTTCCCCTTCCTGCAGTTATCTACCCTTTCAAAGAGTTGATTCCCCTCCTGTTTGTAGGCTCCCTTTAGGTACTGAAATGCTGCAATGATTCACCCCGCAGCCTTCTTTTCTCCAGGCTGAACAAGCCCAGCCCTTTCAGCCTGTCCTCATAGGGGAGGTGCTCCAGTCCCCTGATCATCTTCGTGGCCCTCCTCTGGACCCTCTCCAACAGCTCCCTGTCTTTTTTGTATGGGGGGCTCCAGACCTGGACGCAGTACTCCAGATGGGGCCTCACAAGAGCAGAGTAGAGGGGAACAATCACCTCTCTGTCCCTGCTGGCCACCCCTCTTTTGATGGAGCCCAGGATCCCATTTGCCTTCCGAGCCACAAGGGCACACTGCTGGCTCATGTTAAGTTTTTCATCCATCAAGACCCCCAGGTCTTTCTCCACAGGGCTGTTCTCAAGGACCGCTCCTTCCAGTCTGTAATGGATTTCAGATCTTTAATCTGAACACGTGAGGTCCGTGCTATACTTAGCACCCTCAATAATTCCCTGTGAGCTGGACCTGAGATAAGACTGTATTCATTTCTGGTGGAGCAAAATGGGTGAAGCACAGTTTCAACTCCTTTGAGCCATGCTACTTACACAGCTTCTATGCTTGACCTAAACAGCTGCTTGATATCTTATGTTTAATATTTATACACTCTTTTTTCTTCTTTTTTTCATTTTCCCACTGATTTTTATTATAAAACCAAAAGTGCATGTGTTTTTTGATATAGAAAGCTAAAATGCTGTTTTACATTCATTATTTTAAATGATAGACGCTTGTTCAAATATACTGAATTTTTCTTTCTTTGTCTATGGAAAACAATAAGAAATTAAGAAAATACCTTTACCTTTAAGCTTACATACATTAATATTTGGTTGTTGGCTGTGTGTGAGTGTTGTATGGTAAATGTTGAGCCATAGCCTGAACCACTGATTGAGCACCTGGGGAAAGAACAGGTCAGCCCTGAAAGCACAGGTGAAGGCAATTCATGTGTGGGACCAGGAGGGGTGGATCCTGGCTGCACCTCTCTTAGACCTCATTTAAGGGCTGACTGCCACTGGGGAAGGATTTTTTCCTGGAGATTCCTGCTTGGTGAAGCTTTCCTTTGTGAATCTGAAATATTCTGATACAGGTGAGCAATATTCTTCCTTTCCTTTATAGCACCTCTCTGTTGCGCCAGTCCTTTTGTCATCACACCTTTGTTGTGATGCCTTTCCCGTTGTATTGATCTGTCCAATTGCTACAAGTATGTAAAAACATATGTATAATGTATGTGTGTTTGCACATGTGTATGCGTTTGAGAATGGAGAAAAGACTGGGAATTTCTTAGCAATAGGAGAGATAGACCATTTATCTTAAGATTTTTATAGGGATCCTTTCTGGGGCTAAGGTGTGAAAATTGGCAGTTCTTTGTGTTTTCTGACAGACTGCTGAGGATTGGATAATTAGAAATCAGCTCTGATTCCAAGTCAAACAAGCTGAGGCCACAAAGTCTTCATAGGATGTTTGTCTGAAACATTTCAGTGAGCACTAATATGTTCAGAAAGAACAATATTGTTAACCCATGTTCACAAGTCCAATACAGAGCTTGGTATAAAGCAAAAGTGGTATAAAATTTGTTTTATGTGACTGCTCAGTCTTCATGATCCTTCCAGCCAGGAAATCGAGACCAAATCTTATGGTCTGTTTGTTATTTATGTAAGTGCTCACACCAATTTAAGTGCAAGAGTTAGCTTTTTAGCTACCTTCTGATGGTTTATTCAGCTTCCCAGCTGGGGTGTTTAAGGTCAAAGGATTTCCCAAAGGTTGCAGCATTCAGTGATGCATCAGTCCCTATAGAAGCTCCCCCCCCACTCTCCATCCCTTGTCACTCAGCTGGCTCCTCTGTTCTCTAACAAGATCCACACCGGTGAGGCTGAGGACAGAATTTTGGCCCCATTTCCTCAGCCTTATTAATTTCAAAGCACTCTTCTGCTAAATACACACTACAGGCTTCACGAGTCTGTATTCTGGCCTGAGAGACGTGGTAGACACTGAAATAGGTTTCCCTAAAGACCCAGTGGAAGCTTCATAACTCAAATCGCTCAGAATTGGGTCTGACAAAGCATAGATGAATATGTTGGTGTGAGCAGAGTTCCTTTGGCAGAAGATGTCAGAGGAAAGGACTTAATGTGCAATGTGCTCTCACGTATGGGTTCTCAACATGCAAACTGCTGGTGGTCTGTGAGGCGTCAGAACATGAGCTGTGAGATGATAGCAATTTCTTTGTTGTGTTTTTTTTTTTTGTCAGTGTTGTCCTTTCTTAAGCATGTTTAGAAAATTTAAGGGGAGAAAATGTAAGCACAAAGTATTTAAATTTTAGACTGATTTTTCTCAGCACCGCACAAAGTGGTCCTTGGATTGTATGTCATGCAAAGGTCAGATTGACTGTGGATTGAAAGATGCTGAAAAGCACTGTGGTAGTAGATGGAAATGAAAGCTAGGTTGAGAGAAGCCTTTTGCTTGTGTTCTGCACTGGGAGTAGTATCAAAATATTCTATTGGTGGTTCTAGTGTCATTTCTGATTTCTGTATCATACTGAGATGCTGGGTATAATACTATATCTGCTTTGGGATCCAAGAGTTGTGCTTTGTTCCCACCTCATCTGCTTTGACTTCTTTGTCACTTACATAGCTTCTTGTGTCTATGTTATTGTAAAATCAGGAACATCTTAATGAGTTTCTCATTATTCTTTTCTTTTGAGGGCTGTCTAAGATGTGTAAATTGTTGGCAAATGCCTGCTATTGCCATACTGCTGGAAGGCTTCTTCCAATCACACTGTCTAAATAGCTGCTGCATCAGAACCCTTACGTATTATGAAGGATATTGGCCATAAAGTTTGAAATGAAAGTCTGAATTTGGTGCACAAATGATGTTTGCTATGGTAGGGTTACTGTGTAAAAGCACACTGACAGTTCTGCACCATCATGAAGACAGAATAATAATTTCATGGGTTGTGGGGTCTGTCTGGGTTCATAGTGTTGTGATAGAGGGGATTATTCTAAATCATTTTGAGGATGGGATGAAACTTTGGGGAAAAAGCAAGGAGGGTAATTCCTTGTCTCTGAAATCAGTTGTTTTTATTCGCTCCATGGGGAGATTTAACCCACAGAAAGAGAAAGACACGTTTTTTCCAATGTGAACAGTTCACAAGAATAATGCCAAAAGAATGGGATCATTCCCCATCTTCTCACATCAGAGGTGTTGGATTCCTTAGGCTTTGTACATTCTAATGATATTGAAGTGTCTGTGACTTCATGGACACCGTGGAGTCAAGCTGAGGTGGCTTTGTAGGTGATCTGTGTTCCTGAGATGTGTGGTCCATACCATGCAGGCTTAATAATGCTCTTCATGCTGCAAATGTTAGCCTTTAAGCCTGTTTTATTTATTCTGACTGTTTAAACCACTATCTGTTTTTGAACACGGCCATTTTTTATAGATTGAGGAGATCATTATTTGCACAGTTATCTGTTCTCTCGTTCATTTTCAACTGTTTTTGTTATATACATATGAAGTACTTTGGATCCAGCAGAGTTCATAGAGTACAAAGGCTTGTGCTGGAAAAAAATATTTGCATTTCGCTAGCATTCAAGAGAGAGGTCAATAAAATAAAGCAAGATGAGAAATCATGGGGTGAAATGCTGGCCCCACCATAGTCAATGGGAGTTTTGCCATTGTCTTTAGCGGGGGCCAGAATTTTAGTTGTTGCCTCAGATATGGAGAATGACTCCTTTTAGTCCACGTTTCAAGCCTTGGGAGGCAACTGGAATAGAAATAAATCAATATCCCATCAGAAATGCAGATTTCACCTTATCCTCTATATTTCTGAATCCATAAAACATAAATTCCAGATAAAATTTGAACTGTGTTTGACTTAGGTTTTTGTTATTCCTTTGGATTTCCAGAGGACTGACTGTTACAGAGGTTGCCAGGACAGGCTCTATAGGTGGAATAACCTGAACAACAGACATACAGAACATTCCTATAAGATGAAAGCGTTCCTCTTATAGATCCAGGACCGGACAGGCTGTCTGCTGCACACAGTAACAAAGACTGAAACCATATTGGCATAGTGCCTGTTACAACACTAAATGCTTCCCTGTGGCTTTCTACTCCCAGGGAGAAAGAGCAAGGAAATCAGCAGGGAAACCAGTGGAAGTCATGGTTTGACAACATCAAAGAACAGCTTGGACCCTATCCTTATAGAGAGAAAAAGGTTGCCAGGATCCCATGAGTTGGCTGACTAATAAGTGAAATTCTGCCAATGCTCCGATTCAGGATGGCTTGGGGTGACCCAGTGATTGCTGGCCATCGCTGGTGGAAGAAGTTAACAGGGGAAAAAAAGCAGGGAGATAAAGAAAAATAACCAAGCAAATGTAGGAATTGGGAACTCATAGGAGCACAGAGGGAGTCGCCTCTTGAATCAGAAACGTCTGTGTTAGTAGTAAGGTCAACAGTGACTTCTGAGAAGCATTTGCAACATTCGTTACCTCTTCCATCCTCTGACATAAACGCATCAGCGTGTGGTGTTATTTGTCTTGTCCACACGGATCAGAATAATGGACAACGTGGCAGGGAAAGGCAGAAAATACATCATTTAAGAAGCTGGATGGCCAGATGTACACGAACACTGGGATTTCACATAACGCACGTGGGTCAGCCCCTTCCAGTTATTATAAACAGCCTTGTGCTCTTTTATGAAGACCAGATCCTCAGTGAGGTCTGAGTGACTTAATTTGCTCATCTGTGCAGGAGAAAGTGGTTAAAGCAATCCATGGTGCTGCAGGGCAAGGGACAGACAACTGCCTTTGGGTAAGAAGGGCTGATGATTGATGGTAGGACTAGATGATCTTAGTGTTTTTTTCCAACCTTTATGACTCCATGATTCTAAGAAGGAGCTTTGTGAACATATAGTGGGTGAAGGACTGCTTAGGCTGTGCAGAAAATGCTTCCTAGGCCTCCTGAAGTGGAAAAGTCTTCTAAATCAGCCTAAATGAATTGGATGAAAGCTCCTGCAGCCTTACGATTTGCTAATGTGGGGTGTTAAGTTGAGCAGCGTGGCTCTTAGATTGCTATAAGTCCTTCCTCAGTGCACTGATATGCTCTGTCCCTGCACCTCCTGGATTTCGGCTCGTAATGAAGAGCACTGCAAGACCTGGATTCCCCTGGAGAAGATGCCAGTGCAGCACTAAAGCCAACATTTAAGTGAGAAGAATGATTCTACTGGAGAATCTCTGACCACAGACATGCATGCTGCTGGCTCATGGGTCTTGTTATCCCTAGATCATGGGATGACCAATGCGATAGGGCTGCAGATCTGTTCACAGCCTCTTTATGTTTTAGAAAAATCACTTCCCCTATTTCCATACTTCTGATTTTTGCTTCTTTCTGGTTAAGTTCTCAGCTCCTCAGAGAGGTTTGCAACAGAATCGTGATCTCTTCTGAGGCCTCTGAACACCGTGGTAATATAAATATAAGAAAGCATTTATCAAAGCATACAAAGGAAACTCTTTGTGCTTTGATTTAAAGCATGTAAAATGAGTCTTGGAAAACATTCCTCCAAAGGAGTTGAGGATTAATTAACACTTGCCCAGCTTGCTGCGACCACAAGCAGTGCTAGGAACCCTGTGCACAACTGCATTACCTGCAGGAGCATGGGCAGGCACCAGATCCTGCAGAACATCTTTGTTTTAACTTGGTTTGCTTTTCTGCTCCAAGAACACCCAATGGAAAGCAAAGAGGCACACATGAAACTATGTCCTATTTAAAGAAATTGGGAAGGTGTAGTTTAACATCCATGAGTATTACAATACTTATTGCTAAGCTTTGATATGTTGCTGCATATTTGATTACCAACCTCTTTCAAAGATTTCAACCCAGAAATTCCCTCCAGGATGGCATCTGAGGGACATGGGGACACCTCACAGCTGCAAAGAGCAATGTTCCCATGTGCCATCTGGTCAGAGCTCATCAGTCTTCCTTGCTGAAAGATTTCAGAGTTAAAGTTTATCATCTCAGCTGGTTCAAATTGCAAAGCATGAGAAGGAGGGATGGTTTACCAGCTTTTAAGCCAGGATAATTTGTTTGCTGCTTTTTTTTTAATTGCAAAAATAGTTTAAATCCATCAAGTCACTCTTCAGAGTTACAGAGGTGCAATAAATCCTAATCTGTTTGGACTCAATTTCTGTTTAATTTCTTTGCCAAGCACCCTAGTAAAAATGGATTAATATAAAGCTATGTGGAGAAAATATATATAGAATTTTATAGCAGCCATTTTTTTTAGCTGGATTAAAATTTTTTCTTTGTATGCATGTTTGAATCATTATAATAGCAATAAAAAGAACAGGCAATTACATTGCCTGTAAAGAGTCATTAGGAATGGAAATTTATAAAACCCTGCAATTAATGTTACTACATGAGTACATACACATGCACATATACAAATGTACTTGGAAAAAATATGAATACAGTGGATAAATATGGGATATGGAAAGAAAAAGGAGGCTGTTCTGGAGCCTGAAAGAGCTGTCTTCTAGCTTTATTGAATTGGAGCTAGATGATCCTTGAGGTCTCTTTCAACCCAGGCCTTTTTATTTATGCCATCCTAGCAGTCTTGAGGAGCATCTGCTGTATAGAAGTGGTACTTAGGGATGTGTTTAGTGGGTGTTATAGGTGGTAGGTGGACAGCTGGACTAGATGATCCTAGAGATCTTTTCCAACCTTCATGATTCTATGATTTTGTGATTATGTGCTCCAAAAGAGAAATCCATGCTGTGCATGAAGCACAGTCATGCAGCAGACCCTCAGGCAGGGAGCAATGTGGGACATCTGGGGGTGAATGAAGAGGGTGTCACTGGGATGCAAGGAGCATCCCACTCTTGGCTGGGAATGCCCATGTGCCCAGACCCTGAGAGCTGGACTTAGGGGTTAAAACAAGGAGACATCAGTCATATATGTGCAACCTGCCCTCATTTATCAGCTGATCTTTGTATAACACTATGAATGCCAGCATTTATTGTCTGCAGCCCCGGTCACTGTCTCAAATCAGGGACAGCAAATAAACACTGTTGGCCTGAAAGACTCTGTAGAAAGCTGAGTGTTTCTACATGGGAATATTTATGAATGCACTGTGATGAGGAGGCAGTGATTGACACAAGGTTAGAAGGCAGAAAAGCATCTTTTGGCAACCCAGGAGCAAACTCAGCCTGATGCAGGGTTTTAGCATGCGTGCTGATGATGGGAAAACAGAACCAGTGTCATCTCTGCTCACCCTGCTTCACCTCTCCAGGGAAACGTGCTCAGGAAAAATGGGATGCATACTGCAAGAAGAGAAACTGTGGAGAGCAGTGGGCTCCCATCACCTGAGAACAAACAGGAGACCTCCAGCTTTCCCTGCATGTAGGTGGTCTGGGCTAGTTTAAATGAATGCATTGGAAATGCAAGGAGAAAGGCCAGGGGAGAAAAGCATCCCTCTCTCACTCAGCCATCACAGCACAAGAGGATTATTCATGAACTTATACTTTAAAAGCATTGTCAGACCTTGAGGCCAGTTGTTGTATTATAAAAGGAGAAGCTCAAAAGCTGAAAGCGTGGGTTCACTTAAGTGCTCAAATTGAAGAAATTTTCAAAAAAAAAAAAAAAAGTCAAACTTCAAGAAAAATAATCTCAAGTTAGATATTCTTGCCAAATTCATTCAAAGGACTTTTTTGCCTCCTATCAGCTGCTCTTGTATCCAAGGACAACGTTATTTTCCCATTTTTGGAAAAGCTTTGGGTGGATGTTTGTTTATAGTAACTTATTAGAATTTGCTAAAATATTTTCAGCATAAGATCCGTGGCGTCAACTCATCTTTCCTCACTAAACCAATAAGCATGTATTAAGGCACAACGTGTTGGGCTTCCTGTTTACATCTGCAGATGGCAAATTAATGCTTGCTCACTCCTCCTCTTCATTAATCTCTCCTTTTCCCACATAATCCATAAATGAAGCCCAGATGGAAAGAATTAGCTCAATCTCTCCTGCCCCCCCCACCAAAAAAAAAAAAAAAAAAAAAGAAAATGCTGGAAGAGGAGTTTTGAGTTCTGGTAGCACTGATTACACTGCAAAGTTGTTCTGTAATTCTCTGAGAGCTGAAGTGTATTGCTGCCTTCCAGTCTTCATATGGGATGTACTGCTATGTTATAGATAATGTATTATGATTTGTATGGTTTGCTTACAAGACCAGGGTTATTAAATAGGAAACCTAGAAAGTATGAGAAGCAAGTGCTAGGAACTAATCTGAACCCAGTGAACCCAAAGAAGAGACTCCCAAACAACAGATATGGGGTTGAACTTCTCAAAGTGCTACAGAAATTGAATCAGGGTAGGCTGTAGGCACCTACATTATGTGCTTCTAACAGCAGTCTTACATATAAAAATACGTTCTGTGTTTGGTCTACAAGGCAAAAACTTGTCATGAGATGCCTGCGATTCCTTCTGCTGATTGCTTCTTGGAAAGCTTTGGATAACATGAGCATGTTCTGAGGCAGATGGGCTGGGAAGAACCATGTCCTTTGCCCTTCCGGACTCAGAGAAGATCAATGCCACGAGTGATTTCTTCTATCTAACCTTGGTACCAAATCTCTTATCTATTAGGATACTCTGCCATATTAACAATATTCACTTTACTGAACCCCACCTCTTGCTACACTCAACCCTCTTCAGCTCCAGAGATGTTAACAGATGTGAACATCACATAGCATTCATTTCTAGCCTTAATGGTTGGTTGGACTAGATGATCTCAGCAGTCTTTTCCAACCCTAATGATTCTGTGATGGTTCTATTTTATGCAACTGCGATGATGTCGTGGCCAATTCCTGATCATTCTGAGTCAGTGCTTACCTAAAGGCATTCCAAACACAAATTCATCAAAGGGAATTAAAGAGTTCACTCAGCCACACGTTCACCTCCTTCTAGTAAAAACAAAACCACAGATGAAGTATTTTAATCTGTCATTATTAAACCACTTTAAGGAGTGACACGATGCCAGCATGCGTGCTGTTGCCTGCCCTGAGCTGCCTGTGAACCCAGGGAACATGGCAGCACTGAGCCTGAGTGCAGGAGCTGGAGTTTCCACAAGGCAGGAATTGCTTTGCAGAGAGGACAGCTTTGAAACTGTGAGCCAGGGGATGAGCTGATGGGAATTATGAGGCAAGAAGTTCACCTCCTCTGGGCCCTTGGCCACCATGTGAACCTTGAGGTAGGGCATCTTCCTGCACTGTTTATACAGGAGTTAGTGACTCTAGTGAGAAATGACATTTTCTTTAACAGCTGATGAATATGAGAAGCTGAAAGATTGGAATTGACATGAAAATTGCAATGCTTGCAACAGCTGCTTAAAAAATATGAGTGGTTTAGGGGGTCCTTTGTGTTTTTTATTTTATTTCACGAGCGTTGTAATAGTCAGAAATATTATTGTGGTGTTTGAATGTGAGGGTTTTATTTCTAAGCATTTTTTTTTTCAGTTTTTAACTTGTGAGACACTCTCCTTGGTGAGAAATCTGCGTGGGCAGTGAGGGAAACAGATCCAAACTGAACCCAGGAATCCAAGTGAGGATGATCAGAAGTGCAGAAGTAAACTCAGTTTAGTGGCAAACTGTGATCTTTGCCGTAACCACTAAAAGAAAGGGGGGAGGGAACCTAGAAAATAAAGAATTTGGGGGGAAAAAAGTGCAAAGAAAATACTCAAATTGTGTTCACTAAGGATCAAGGTAGGATCCATTGGAAGGCTTTCTTTATTTTTCATTAGTTCTCATCTGCAAATGTTCCGGAAAAAAAGGGGGGTTGGGGAGGGAAGGGAAATGAAGAGAAAGAGGAAAAGGAAAAAAGAAAAAGAGGAAAAAAAGGAAGGAAAAAAAAAAAAAGAGCTATTCAACTTAAGGCTGAGTTGTTAATTGTTGAAGGAAACTGTTTCCTTCAAGACTGATAAATACCATGGGGTATTTCAAACAACCGAGTAGTAAATCAAAGAGAAGTGCTGTTACATTATACAATGAAATCAAAGTGATTTGCAGAACCCTAAATGTTTCTTCGTTATCCTTAATCCTTTACCATTAAAGTAATGAGGAACTCTGATAAGGTTTTCAGACAGTGACAAGGAAACATGAAAATTATGGGCATTTTTATTTGAAGCATTTCTCTCGGTGCTTTAGCTTTTAAATACAATGAAATATTGTAAATACTTCTATGAGGCTTTAATACAGGAGGCTGTAAATGAACTTTAAGCTGAAAGTTTTGTCAGAAGTCAAGACCAGGATAGAGCCATGCTGTTATCCTTCTATCCTGGATTAAAAAATATATAGTTGAATGTTTAGTGGTCCAGTAGG